CCATCAGGACATTGAGTTCATTGAAGAAAGAAATAAGCGCACGCTTTTCTTCCTTCTTCAATGTCCATGACGCAATTGGATGTTCGAACTGGCCATTCTCTAGCTCCACGGGATGCAACTCCTTCCTGATTCCCAAGTGTTGCATGTCTAGGCGTGTGGCTAGTGAATCCTTCGATGTCCCCCCAGTGTCCATCAAGGTGCTAAGAGTGTTAGCGCACATGTTTTTAGTGATGTGCATGGGATCAAGACAGTGGCGTACACTCAGAAATGGCCAGTAAGGTAGTTTCTAGAAAATTGATTTTTTTCTTCCAAACGCTCCCATCAGGCGCTACTACTGCATTGTCCCCCTTCCCAAGGACAACCTCCAGTTTATTGAGTTCTCGAAATACCGCATGCCCGTCTCGATATTTTGGAGCTAAGCGTTTCTCAATAGTACCGTTCAAATCTTTTCTGTTCCTACGGTAAGGGTGATCCTTAGGTAGAAACCTACGGTGTCCCATATAAACTATCTTTGAGTTATTTGGCAGATTTACCGCATCGGTGTCGTCCAAGCACTCGACACATCCAGTATAGCCTTTTGTCTTCTCTCCGGACAACGAACCTCGACCTGGCAGGTCAGTGATTGTAGCGATAAGTACTCCCTTGATCGTGACATGTTCCTTTTTGTACTCGTCCCAAACATCTGGCACACCCTTTTCAAACATCTCCACTAGTTCATCGATCACTGGTTCCAGAAACACATCGATGTCATTCCCAGGCTGTCTTGGCCCTTGGATCAGTATTGGCATCTGGATGTACGACCGCTTCATACAGACCCAAGGTGGAAGGTTGTATATACAGAGCGTCACTGGCCAGGTGCTACGATTGCTTCTAACCTGGACAAAAGGATTCATCCCATCTGTGCTCAAAGCAAACCAAAGGTGCCTTACCTCTCCACCGATGTCCTTATAGAACATAGTATTGACAGCCCTCCAGTCATGCCCATCGGCGGGGTGCCTCATCATTGTATCTTTCTTACGCTCTTCGCCATGCCAGCGCAACAGCTTGGCTGACTTTGCACATGCAAACAGCCTATGCACCCGAGGAGCTATAGGGAAATACCAAATGACCTTTATGGGACCTCCTCTGGTCTTGGTACCCTCATCTGATGGCCCTTCTTTGTACCATGGAGCTTCACACTTGGGGCACTTGTCCAAGTCTTTGTATTTTTCTCCACGGTACAATATGCAATCATTGGAACACGCGTGGATTTTTTCAACCTCGAGGCCGATGGGGCAGATCATTTGCTTGGCCAAGTATGTCTTTTCTGGCAACTCATTTTTTCTGGGAGCATTTTCCTTATTATACCTAACAACTAATCGAAGCCTTTATCGCTCAATCCGTTTGTTGATTTGAACTCTAACAGCATGATGTCGGCTTCCAGTTTGCTCATTGGATAATTCCTATACAATGGTGTTTTGCCATCTTGTCTCATTTTCTCTAGCTTTCTCAGTTGTCTTTCAATAAGACATCCGGTCTCTACATTACGTAGCAACTGAGAAATGCCATCGTTATCCTTGGTGTCATCAGCTAGCGTGTTCCTAAATACATTATTAATTGTGGCCATAGGTTCCGTGTTGACACCGGGTTCCTCGTCAGCATCGTGGATGGCTATGTCAGGCATGTCCACATCATCATCGTTTTCCTATAGAACATTCACACCAACCTCGCCATGCATAGTCCATATCGTATAGTTTGGCATGAATCCCCTAGTAATCAAGTGCGATCGTATAGACTCAATTTGGCGAAAGTTCCTATGATTCTTACAATCTTTGCATGGGCAGAAGACAGGGTTCCCATTCCCAGCAAGGGCTTTGGCATCGGTGATAAACTGGCTGACGCCATGCATGTACCGCTTGTCCGTTCGGGACAGATGCATCCACTCTCAATCCATCTCTGTATAAAAAAAATACTGAGACAGTAATTACAAAGAATTAATAAGAAATCAAGCTTCATGAACAACAATTGTAGCTCGAAAGTACCATTTTTGGAAAACAACTAATTATAGCATCACATACTAACAATGGTGATCTTGACCACCATGGAATAATTAGCTAGGAATTTAAATGTGCTCATAGACACCAACCTTTTGGATGATGGATTCACCACAATTTGAGCCTTGCACAAATATCCAATTGAAAAAGTGTTGTCTAGAATGGAGAAAGAACTAGAATGAGAATCAAGCAATGTAGCCATCAAAACGAAGCTAATTAAGCAACAAAATTAAAGGAGTGGATGTTTGTTACTAACCTTAAAGCAAAAAGATCAAGCCATTCTTTAAAATCCAAGCAATAGCTTCATGGTGAAGAGCAGCTGCAACAATGGAGGGAAGGGTCCAAACGCGCGCCTCTGTTCTCATGATGGAAGAGAGGAGGAGGAGAGGACGGCTGCAACATTTTTGTGTTGTAGGATTATCACCGTCGGTTCTTGGCTAGAACCGACCGTGATAGTGCCCAATCACTGTCGGCTCTTGGCTTAAACCGGCAGTGATGAGTGCCCGCCAAAACACTGCCGGTTCAAGCCACAAACCGGCAGTGATGTGGTCCTTCACTGCCGGTTTTAGCCCAGCACCGGTCATTTTTTCATTTTCAAGCTCATAACCGGCAGTGAAGGTACATCACTACCGGTTCTCACAAATCCGGTAGTGATGAGGCCGGCAGTGATGTGCAAATCTGGCGTAGTGGATGACATAGTGCAATGCTAGCTAGCAAACCAACAATGACGTCGTCTCTGGCCAGCTACTCCATCCTCCTCCTCGCCTTCCGCCATCGCTTCCTCTACCGGTGCCGTCACCTTCTCCGTCACCAACCGCTGCAAGTACACGATGTGCCCAACATCCTTCCCACCGGGCGGCAGAGTATGCCTAAACCTAGGCAAGACGTGGACCCTGGAGGCCTCGGAAGGCATGGACGTGCACTACTAAAAAAGTGCCACCTCTGCTTTTCTACGTATAAAATCACCGATTTGTAGAGGTGGTTGTGTCCAACTACCTAAAAAATCGGATTTCAAGAAATCGATTTTCAGAGGCAACCGTATTTCGAGCCGTCTCTATAAATTGTTATAAAAAATCACAAATCTGGTAAAAAATAGGGAAAAATTAAAACATGAGAAGACCCCACCAGACAGCCTCACGCGTGCGCTGCCGTCGTTAGCCGCTAGTCGCATGAGGTTGGTGTCTAGAGTGAGTGCATTTGATCCATTTGCTCTGCTATCGGAATCTTAGTTGGTTCCTTTTAATGTTGGACTTTACTACAGCCTGTGTGTGCAGGCACAAAAAACATTACTGCACACTTCTCCTTTCGCCTGCATGCCTTTTTCTTCCTTGCACACCCCTTAGATATCTTCTTCCTCACACACCTTCTCTTCTTCCTCCCACGCTCCCTCCCCCCCGCCTCCGCACCCCGCCCAGCTCCGATGACGTCCACGTCACCTCCGCCGTCGCACTCGAGCATAGCCAACCCTAACCTGAGCCCTCTGCTTTGGATTTGGCGCGAGCACCCCCGCCTCGACCCCCTCCCATGCTCTGATGGGGCGCCATCGCCTCCTCCTCCTCCTTCTTTGGCCGTCGCCCCTTCCGCCGACAGCGTCTAGCCGGCGGGTGGCGCCGCCGCCTGTCCAGCGTCTTCCCCGGAATCTCCCTTTTATGCTCGGAGAGCATGGAAACCCTAAAAATCCTAACCCTAACACCACGGCCTGCTTCATCTCTGGCGGCGGCAGCCGGCAGGTGAGTTCGTATGCAATTTTTTTGTCTTCTAGTGCGTGCAAGCCAAAGCCTCTCCACACATGCGTGCGGTAAGAAGCATTCGGGTTTAATGTTTATAGATGCTTCGCTAAAAACACTGTTGGGGCATGACTGCACGGGTTTGGCAAACTTGGTGTGGCAAACTTGGTGTGACTTTTCTGGTCTTTTGTTTGATGTGAAGATTTAGTGTTTTTCCCTACCTTTCTTTCAAAAAAAGGACCGGCGTGCCTGAATTTTAGCTTTCTTTCAGGCGATGGTTATTGCATATATTTTATACTAAAATTATAACTTTTTAGCTTTCTTTCATGTGATGGTTATTGCAATTCATGTAGGCATAATCTATAATTTTTTATTTCAAGAATAGAAAACCTGATTGATAAAACCACAAACCTGACAAAATCTAATATATATTGACACAAAAACAATTAATAATTCATAATTTTTTTCTATAGTTAGATAAGGACAAAATGTTTGATATGTTATGATACACAGACAAATAATAAATCTTAAAAGTAATAATTTACTTGTACTAGTTGGTTGTACAAAAGGGTTGTCTAAAATTATCTTAAAATTCAGGCACTTGAAATATAGGAGAAGTGTTTAAAAAGTTTACACCTTAAACATGTGGGAGTAAAGAATTCCAATCTGGATACTCGTTAACAAATCTCAAATCAGCAAAAATGTTCTACAGCTGAAATAAGCATTGTGACCACGGGGCATATGGAAAGTTTGATTTCGGATAGGGTCCTATGGTATTTGGGTTGGACGTCGATCAGTTGGAGAACGTACACGGAAAGGATGCTGAATTTGAAAATATAAAAAAAGAAAGAAAAAAAAAAAAAAGAATATGGTGCCATGCTGGCTGGGCCAGAAACATCCTTCTCGGCTATAGACAAGCCCTTCTATTTTTTCAGATATAATAAGTAGAATAGGTACTAAATCTCATGGCCAGTCAAAATTTGTTTATTTTTTTTTATTAAAAACAAGGAGTTGTAAGTTTTCGTGAGCATGTCTCTGCTTCATCCCTTCCCTTCACTATCCTCAGTGACATCATGCATGACATGTTTGTCAACACTAGGCTGCTACTGCAGACTCCAGAATGACCGTGTATCCGTTTGCACACTCCGATGCTGTCCCAGAACCAGACTCCAGAAAGATGCGGGCAGTGCTGCCTGCTGGTGCGCAGCTAGCAATTGAGTGAGTCGTCGTCAGCCGAGCCATGGAGAAGAAGACGGTGGTGCTGTACCCGGGCGTCGGCGTCGGCCACCTCGCGCCGATGCTCGAGCTGGCCAGGGCGTTCCTCCTCCACGCCGGAGACCAGCAGGTCGACGTTGCCATCGTGGTCTTCGAGCCGCCCGTCTACGCAAACGGCTTCGCCGCCACGGTCGCGCGCGCCAAGGCCTCCAACACCTCCGTCGTCTTGCACGTGCTTCCCCCGCCGGCATCCGACGGCGGCGAGTCCGGCGACGACGCCGAGCCTGAGGACCCCTTGGCCTGGATGCTCCGCTTCCTCCGCGCCACAAACGCGCCGCTCCGCGACTTCCTCCGCGCGCTGTCGACGGCGTCGCGCCGCGTGCAGGCGATCGTCCTCGACATGTTCTGCGCCGACGCGCTCGACGTCGCGGCCGAGCTCGGCCTGCCCGCCTACTTCTTCTTCCCCTCGGGCGCCGCCGGCCTCGCCTGCTTCCTCGGCCTCCCCGCCATGCGCGCCAGCGTGGGCACGAGCTTCGCGGCGCTCGGCGAGTCTTCCGTCCTGTCGTTCCCGGGCGTTCCTCCGCTGAGAGTCGCGGACCTGGCGCAGGGGCTGGCGGACGACGGCGAGGCGTGCAAGGGCATCATCGGCGTGGCTGCCCGGATGCCGGATGCCCGCGGCATCCTCATCAACTCCTTCGAGTCGCTGGAGCCGCGCGCGATGCGGGCGCTCAGGGACGGGCTGTGCGTGCCGGACCGCCCCACGCCGCCGGTCTACTGCGTCGGGCCGCTGGTCTCGCCCGGCGGCGACACGGACCACGACTGCCTCCGCTGGCTGGACGCGCAGCCGGACCGCAGCGTCGTGTTCCTCTGCTTCGGGAGCCTGGGCACGTTCCCCAAGAAGCAGCTGGAAAAGATCGCCGTGGGTCTGGAGAGGTCCGGGCAGAGGTTCCTCTGGGTCGTGCGGAGCCCTCCCGGCGAAGCACCCGCCGACGACGTGGGCGCGCTGCTCCCATCCGGGTTCCAGGAGCGCAACGAGGACAGGGGGTTCGTCGTCAAGAACTGGGCGCCGCAGGTGGACGTGCTGCGCCACAGGGCGGCCGGCCCGTTCGTGACGCACTGCGGGTGGAACTCGACGCTGGAGGGCGTCGTGGCGGGGCTGCCGCTGCTGTGTTGGCCGCTGTACGCGGAGCAGAAGATGAACAAGGTGCGGATCGTGGAGGAGATGAAGCTAGGGGTGGAGATGAGGAGGAGGGACGACGACGACGTGGTGACGGCTGAAGAGGTGGAGGCGAAGGTGAGGTGGGTGATGGAGGACTCCGACGGCGCGCGGGCGCTCAGGGAGCGCGCGGCGGCGGCGAGGGACCGAGCGGCCGAGGCGCTGTCGGAAGGGGGCCCGTCGCGTGCAGCTTTTCTCGACTTCGTCGTAGACCTGTTGGCTTCGGAAGGCATGGTTAATGTTTGAAAGTATTACTTGTACAAAAAAAAAACTCTGTACTTATTTTGCTCTGTCTCTTCCTTTTCTTTTGCCAAACTTACACTGTCTGTACGGATAAAAGAAAATTACACTGTCTGTACATTGATACATATACAATATTGTTTCTATTGATAAGAAAAAATTCTCTTTTTTGAATTGCATTTTTTTTCTCTCCGTATAAATGATTTTTGGCAACAATTTCTCCTATGTGTGGACCATATATATGTACAAGCGAAAAGTTCACTTTAAGACGGGGCCGCATTTTGGCACAACATTTTGTTACGTGATGTACAACGTATATGGCTTAGATGCATCTTAAGACATGACTCTCCATAGCACGCAGCTAACCCTAGTCGGAATCGGAGCTAGCATCTCTAGAATCGACTTCTCCTCCTGCTGAATCGAAGCCAACCTCCACCTGCACATGGGCGTCGCCGACAAGCAAGCGCCGCGGGCTGGGCGCGGGGGCCGACGGTGATGAAAAGTGTGTGACCGGCATCCGGAGCTAGGCTTGGATGGGAGGCCGCGCATCTCGTCCTCCAGCTCGCGGCTCTAACAGTTCTTGTTGCCGCCGCGGCAGCCGAAGCTTCTGGACCTGTTGTTCTGCAACTGCTATGGGCAGCAGCGCTCGAGGTGCCTCCAAGAGGACATCACTCTGCCTCTTCTACTTTTTAGGTGAGCTCCTGGCGATGGCGCCAACAGCAACGGTCGGGTGTGTGAACGGTGAAGGAACAAGAGAGAGAGAGAATCTTTTTTTTTCGGAGTAGTTTTTTTTTATTTTTAATATATTTTTAAACTAATTTTAAATCTAACATATTTTTAATTTTTTTTTCTAAAACTAACACTTTTTTTGCCGCTATCTGCGGGCGCGCTTAAGCGTCTTGCGTGTCATGTTTGGTGGCGCGGTGAGGGGGATGACGTCTGTCGATTTTAATTGCGTGTTAAAGGCCACCGGCTACATCACCACCGCATGCGCCATTTCGCCTTAGCTTTACAAGCAAAAAAGCTTAGGTAGCTTGGCTAGTTGGCTTTATTTTTTTACCTGAGTTGAGTTGGCTTTTTTTTTTTTTAATTTAATGTCTTTAATGAGAGCTGGAGCCATCCAATGAGAGAGAGCAGAGAGCCAACAGGAGGACGCGCGATGTGCTGATTTGATTTGCATTCTACTACCGCTTGTGCCGTGAGGGATGGCGGCACCTGCCAGCGCCAACATCTCGGTGACACGGTAGAGAACCTCGCCACGCCACCGGTCGCGCCCGGTATCGTCATCCCCTCACCGTGCCACCATGCATGGCGCTAGCCAAAAAGTGTTAGTTATGTTAGATTTAAAATTTATTTACAAAAAATGTTAAAGATAAAAAAAAATTGTAGCGGTTACTTGAAAACCTGCCACCACTAGAGTTCTCAGAATGGTACTTGAAATCGTAGCGGTTAGATTTAGCAACAAATGCTTATAAATACTGCTCTCTCGTCACAAATTGTAACCAGTTTTTTAGCTGCATAATTTTATCAGTACACCTAGATATATTATTATGTTTAGATACGTAATAAAAACTATGTATCTACAAAGTACAGAACGATTTGGCCTCGTAGGTGTTTATAGTGACAAAAATTACATAATTAGAAAAAACCTCTTACACAAATGTTTGGTGATAAAAATGCACAACTAGAAAAAAAAAACATCCACCGAAGACTCGAAAACCATCCACCACACTGAAGACTCGAATACTGGTGGACAGAAAACCACAACCACCCACTGGCTTCCACCACCCGTGCCGTGCAACATGTGGTTCTCTTCCTCCATCTTTTGAATTTGTAAATCATTTTTGTTCCTTTTCAAAACCTCTTCCATCAAGCTGCCGGCCCTTTTAATTTTTTTTTGTGCCACGGCCCACGGAGGGAAAACGCGTATAACGTTTTTCGTGTCTTCTACTGGCATGGACGTGGCCCAGCCCGCACGTGGCATGCGGGAAGCCCGTTTGCACAGTTGGGCTTATCCCTGCACTCTGGACGACGGGCCTGGAGCATATGCAGCGAGAGGACTGCCTTCGAACGTGGAGCGATCTGTTAAACTGGAATGTAAATAGAACACGATGTAATGGTCAGAAAAGCCAGTTATCTTTTATTGATCTTTGATATGCATATATATATGCATGCCGTACGGACGTCATGGGCATGCACGGAGGCAATTGCTCCATGGTGCCGACTGTTCGAATAGAGGGAGAGAGAGGAGCGTCCGTGCGGTTCCCAGGAGTGGGAGAGCGGGAGCGGTTCCCCTACAGATGAGATCACTGCAGTTGTAATACTCCCCTTGATCGAATCCGTCTTGAGATCAATGAATACTATTAATCATCTAAAAAGTCATGTAGGATAAAAACGAGGAGAAATACTTGATAGATATGCGGTTAAAAACTTCTTCAAACCCAATAGGAAAATAAGGAGAAAGTGATACAACATATAATGATTATTGCCTCATTGTAAACTTATATGAGAAAACCTTTGCAGGAGAAAACTCATAGATAGTTTAGAGGGCAATATATGTCATTGATATCTCCTTAAAAACCCCGCTGGGGAAAACAGGAAATACGACATATGCTTATGCTAATATTGTCTCATTAAAAAACTTCATATGAGAAACCTTGAGAGTAAACCTCATACGAAGAAAAGAGTGCAATATGATGGTTTGGACAAGGCAACATCTAGGAGATTTCTCTCCCTGAACCTTACAAATCTTGAAGTCGTCGCATATCAATTCTTTGAACACATTTCTGGAACGAGGAAGCTGGTAAGGACTTAGTGAACAAATCAGCGAGGTTATCACATGATTTGGTTTGCAAGATGTCTATTTCGCCCATTTCTTTTAACTCATGGGGATAAAACAACTTAGGAGAAATATGCTTGGTTATGTTGCTTTTGATGTAGCATGTATCCATCTGTGTAACACAAGCAGAATTATCTTCATAGATAATGGTTGGCGAATCAATGCCACCAATACCACATGACTGTTGTATGTGGTTGATCACTCTGCGAAGCCAAACACATTCACGTGAGGCCACATATAGTGTAATTATTTCAGAGTGATTAGTGAAGGTAGACACAAGAGTCTGTTTTGAAGACTTTCATAAAATGGTTGCCCCTCCGTGTAAGAACACAAAGCCTGTCTGGGATCGACCATTATGGGGATCAGATAAATAGCTAGCATCAGTGTATCCAATCATATTGGAGTCTGGTTCTTCTGGAAAAATAATCCAATATATCTTGTACCATTTACATATATGAGGATATGTTTTACTCCCGTCCAATGACGTTTGGTAGGAGCAGCGCTATGTCGAGCTAGAAAGTTCACTGCAAATGCAACATTAGGCCTGGTGCAATTTGCAAGATGCATGAGCACTCCAATGGCACTGAGATATGGGTAATGAGGTCCCGTAATCTCTTCTCCTTCATCTCGTGGTCTGAATTGATCAGTCTTCAGCTCTAAAGACCGAACAACCTTAGGAGTTTTGGAGGGATATGATTTGTCCATATTAAATTTCTCCAATACTTTCTGTATATAGGCAGATTGATGCACTAAAATTCCAGTGGGAAGGTGCTCAAGTTGTAAACCTAAGCAAAATTTGGTTTGACCCAAATCTTTTATTTCGAACTCCGTCTATAGATGATTACATGCTTCATTAATATCTTGTGGGTTGCTAATGATATTTAAATCATCAACATACATTGATATTATGCAAAATTCCGTTTGGGACTTTTGATGAAGACACATGGAAAATCATCATTGTTAGTGTATCCCTTCTGCAGAAGGAACTCACTAAGTCGGTTATACCACAATCTTCCCGACTACTTTAAGCCATAGAGTGACTTTTGAAGCTTTACACAGTATATGTTACGATTTGCGTTCTGATCCGGTATAGAGATTCCATCGGGAACCTTCATATATATATATCCAAATCAAGTGACCCATATAGATATGCGATCACTACGTCCATCAACTGCATAGATAGATGATTTTGAATAGCTAGAGATATAAGATATCGGAATGTTATTCCACTCATAACTGGAGAATATGTTTCATTGAAATCAATGCCGGGTCTCTACGAGAACCCTTGTGCTATAAGCCTCGCTTTATGTCTCACAACCTTGTTGTTTTCATTCCGTTTCTGGACAAAAACCCATATGAATCCCACAGGAAAGATTCCACGAGGTGTAGGTATTGCATGAGTGAATACCTTTCTTTTGGAGAGTGAGGACAATTCCGCTTAAATTGCATCTTTCCATTGATTCCATTTTGAGCGCTTTTTGCACTCTGCCATGGTCTTAGGATCTGGATCATTTTGGATGATTTCTGCAATTGCTTCAGCGAAATAAATGTCGACAATTGTAGACTTTCTGTCATATGATTCTCTAGATTCAATGTAGTTGATCGAAATTTCACGCACCCTTTGTGATGTATCATTATTTCCCAATATGATTGCATTAGGTGTTCTGATGTCCCAACATCAGTAATTGAGTGCACTGTAGATGTGGGATGTGAAGGTTGAACCTCCATAGGGTGCCTCTCAACATGAGGTTGAGTTGCATTTGTTGTGTTGGGAACTTTGTTCTTCCCTTTCCTTTGCTTGCTAGAACCTACATCCGTGGAAATAGTCGTACTTCTCTTACTTAGGAGTTGAGTAGTTTTGTTTGGTACCTCTACTCTTTCTGGCATATTTCTCACAGGATTGTAGGATTTTGTGACACCCTTGCAATCAGCAAATGCATTTGGCATGTTATTTGCAATGTGTTGCAAATTGATGATCTTCTGAACTTGAAGTTTAGTTTCAGATGTACGTGGATCTGAAGTGGAGATGTCTGTGGCATCCCAATTAAGGATGAAAACGGTCAAACTCGGTCGAAAAACTCCTCAATCGTTTTCTACTTTTACATTTGAAATACGAAAGCGAAAGCGAAAGCGAACAAGCCGGACACGAAAACGAACACGAACTTAC